TCTCCACTCCGCACGCCCCCTATCATTCACTATGGTAAGATTTTTTGTTCTGATGATGCCTTATACCTGATCCCTTCGACACCTTGTGATACCAACATTTTCAACAACATTCTAGCAAACATAATTCAACAAAACATTAACTAAATAATACATCATGATTAGGTGATGTTCATATCAAGTATGTAAAAATGGTTTAATATATTTTTTAAAAATTCAATGTAATCCACTATATAAATAAAAGAATCATATAATTATATCAATGCAGAAAAAACATTTGATAAAATTAAGCACCTATTTTTGATTAAAACACTCAATAAAATAGAGACAGAAGGGAAATTCTGCAGTATGGTAAAGGCCATACATGCAACACCAACAGCCGGCATTTCTCTCATGGAGAGAACTTGAAGGCATTTCCTCTTCTGAACAAGATAGGGTTTCCCTATGTCCCATTCTTATTTCATATAGTCCTACCTGCGTTAGCCAGGCTGTAAGTTATCAAAAGGATATTAAAGGTATTCAAATTGGCAAAGAAGCTAAACTCTCTATGTGCAGGCAATATGATCTCAATACTTCAAAGACTCAATTTTCAAAACTGCTACAACAAATTGAAAAATTTGGCAATGTAGCAGGCTATAAGATCAATTTATCAAAAATTGCGTGCACCTTAGTCCTCAAACAGCATCCTTCATTTTCAATACTTTAGAGGTCTTGTGCAACAGATTTACCTAAGGCAATGAGTCTTTTGATCTCTTGACAGCTGCTTCTCCGAGCATTGATTGTAGATCCAAGCAAGACAAAATCCTTGACAACTTCAAGCTCTCCTCCAGTTACCCTGATGATCCAGTTGTGAAGGATTTGATCTTTTCACTGAGTCGTAATCCACACTGAAAGCTGTAATCCTTATCTTCATCAGCGGGTGTTTCATGTCCTCACTTTCAGCAAACAAGGTTGTGTCATCTGCATGCTAATGTTGTTAATAGGCCTTCCTCTACAGCAGTGGTTCTCCACCTTCCTAACGCTGCGACCCTATCATACAGTTCCTCGTGGGGTGGTGACCCCCCACCATAAAATTACTTTTGTTCCTACTTCATGACTGTATCCGCTACTGTTATGAAACGGGCAACCCCTGTGAAAGGGTCATTCGACCCCCCAAAGGTGGGTGGAGAACTGCTGCTCTACAGGATAGAGGAGATACACCCCTTTAGGTTTCAGAGACGGTAAATCTTTATGTGAGAAGAAAGCCTCATCTCTCTCCCCTGGCATGCCTCATGAAGTTGAAAGACTTGACTGGTTAGCTGCTCAATGTGTAACCCACTACTCTGAGGGCTCCTCATTTGCAACATGCACACCATATAAAGCATTCATATACTTAATGAGCTCTTACAATAATAATAGGTACATTCAACTAGAAATATGTAGCGATTGAGTTGTGCAAATAGGAGGGGACTTAAAAAATTAGTGGGCAATAAATTAAAAGATCATAGATTTTTTTCCCCTCAATTTTTTTGAAGCCTCCTCATATATTATCAGGATGTTCATTACACCATTGTTTGTAACAGTGAAAGTCTTAGATGTTATCTTTAATATTTAATGGAACACAATGTAGCCATTTAGTAAGATATATATATGTGTGTGTGTGTGTGTGTGTGTGTGTGTGCAAGGACTTTTACAATATATGAAATGGAAAAAAAAATTGATAAAATTTTCAGGCGAAAAACAAACATTGGGAATTCAAGATTTATTTCCATCTCTGGGAGAGAGGTGTGTTCCCTAGCTGACAGGCTAAGAAATGAGTATTTAGCTTTTTAAGCTTATTAGTAGAAGGCAAGGAAAAAGGTAGTTGAAAACAGGTACTAACTAAACTAATATACATTTAGCCACACCCATATTGGAGGTCTTGAAACTTCGCTCCATTCTGTTTCCTTTTTCTCCGAGTTAGAAAGTATCATGAGTCAAAACTGCAGAGGTACAAGGGATGCAAGTGCCTATGGCTTTTCTTAAAGTTTACAGTACTAATGAGCAAAAAGCAAAAAATCACCATCCAGTACAATATTGTTTATACTCAAAATTCCCATTTGTTTAAGATTATCAGATTAGCTAAAATGACTCTCTTTGCCTATTTATCAGCAGTTCCAGGGTGAATACTTTGAATCAAGTCTACCTTCAAACTCAGAACCAGTTGCTGTTGGGTCGATTCCAACTCATCATTACCCCTTGTTTTCAGACTCAACCAGGATTTCCACGTTGGTTTTTCAGTAGATTTCCAGACCTTTCATCCAAGACACTTTTGAATATACTCAAACTTCCAACCTTTCAATTAACAAGTGAACACATTAAGATGGACACCAAAAAAACCCGAAAAAAGATGGACACCGTACCATAATAAGCTCACTGCATTGAGTCAATTCCGACACAAAGCAACCCACTAGTACAGAGTAGAAATTCTCTACAGTTTCCAAAACTCCTCATTCTTTATGGGAGCAGACAACCCCATCGTTCTCTCATAAAGCAGAGAGTGGGTTTGAACCACAAACCTTGCAGTTAGTAGCGCAGTGCTTAACTCACTTTGCCACCAGGGCTCCTGCATAAAAAATAAAACAAAAATAAAAACAAAACTCACCATCATTGAATCCATTCTAACACATAGAAACCCATTAGGACTGAACAGAACTGACCCTGTGGGTTTCCAAGACTATACATCTTTATAGGAATAGAAAGCCTCATCGTTCTCTTCCTAAAAGGATAGACAATCTCATGATGTGGTCATCTGGTCTGGTTCAGAGCAGCCCAGTCACAATGCGCTGAGGATTAATGTAGGGTTAAACCATATTTGTACAATGACAGAGTAGAAAGAATATTGGCTAGGAGTCAAAAGAGCCGGATCTGGGTTCAGGCTCTACAATTCGTCACCCAAATACCCTTTTATTCCACATTGCACTGATTCCGTGTATCTATCAGGCCCTGGGCACAATATGAGGAGGGGCTGTGTAAAAAAAAGATTGTCAGATAAACCAGGCAATCTTTATCCTCAAGAAGACCATCTTACCTTATACTTAATCTTGTCTTCACCATAAATCAAAGAAATGACCATTCTCAAATGAAATTAGGAAATGGGGCAGGATTTCTCAATTTCAGTTCTCTAAACATCTTGCTCTGGGTAATTTTTTGTTGTGAGGATTGCCTTGGGCATTTTAGGATGTAGCCTTAGTTATCTAGTGCTGCTATTAAGAGAAAAACTACAAATGGATGGTTTAACCATAGAAATTAATTTTTGTACCGTCATGGAAGAGAAGAGCCTGAATTCGGGGCCCAGCTCCGGGAAGGTATTTGTGCCTGTCAGATCTGGAAGAAGGTCTTGTCTCTCTTGGGCTTCAGCTCCTAGGTGATCTTCATGAGGCTTGGCACCTCTCCTCCCTCATCTCTGCTCTGCTCACAGGTTTAATCTCTTTTTATATCTCAAGAGACTAACTCAAAATGCACCCTACATTAATCCTACCTAATTGACAGAACAAAAACAACCCATTCCCAAATGGGATTATAACTATAAACTTAACCAACACACATTTTCGAAAGACATAATCCGATCTGTAACAGATGTTTAGCAGCATCCTCAACCACTACCCACTAGAAACCAGAAGGATCTCTTCAATAAGTTTTGTGACAATCAAAACTGTCTCCAGATATTGCTGAGGGTGGTCTCAGTTGAGAACCACTGAAATACGGTGGCAAATGTGAAAGCATTCCTAAAAGTACAAAGCTTCTTCTAATCAATTTGTGTCAGTATTAATGTAAATCAATTTCTAAGGTTTTTGCATCTATATATAACAACAAAAGACTTTAAAGAATTCATGGTTTCCTTAGGAATGATTTTTTTAATGCATTTTACCTATCATTATAAAACCTTCCAGGGATTTTCAATTAATTTTCTTTACCAAAATAAAGCTGCTTCATTAGAACATATTTTCTAAATGTAACACAACACTAACATGACAGCAGGAGTCAAACATAATTGCCATTTATACAAAGCAGAAACTTGTGATTTTGGTTTCCCTTGTTGTGCAAACCTTTTTCCTTTTAGCTGGGACTTTCATGGAATGAGATACATAATTTTTTGAGCCCTCTGTGCATGGGGCTAAAAAAAAAAGAAAAAAAAAGCGGGAACTTTATTTTCTTTGTCCAAATTCAAAGTGCTCTGTGCCTACCTTTTAAGGACAAGGGACTGGATCTTGTAAATTCTGCAGTTGATGGTTTGCGTTGTTTACGTAATTTCAAGTACTCCTTAACTCTTCCATCAATGGTTTCTTTCAGCAATAAACAGACTTCCTAAAGTAAAATTTTAAAAATGCATGTAACCTAACAATGTAATGCAATATAAGAAAACAATCAACATAGTACATGTTAAAGAGTCAACATTATACTCTTTATAACATATATACAACAAAATATGTATGAACTCAACAATTCCTACATGTACAATTGGTGACACTGGCTGTACTCTTCAAGTTGTGCCACCTTTCTTAAAGTCTTTTTTCTGAATTACTTCACCATCATCAGTCCACTGCCCCTTCTCATCAAGCTTCTCAATAATCTTTGAGTCGGTGTCAATTTGATCACATATAGATGATTCTTTAAAAGAAGACAACTTTCAAGGCAGACACTCTTTTCTAATTAAGCCAAACTACTGTTTAGTATGACTTCTGGGAATACATGGTTTCAGTTTAAGGTTTAAAGATTCCTCCAGGGCAATAGTTTAGAGGGGCGGTGTCATAGAACCTCAATGGCCCCAGAAAGGCTGGATTTCACGACAAAGTGAACATTCGTTTTACATTTTCTTCCTTTTGAACAGGATTCTTCTATATAATTTTTGGCTAAATGTTCAGTAATGGTATCCAGTTCTGGTCTCATGACATAGGAGAGAGTTGTTAATGGAGGCAATCAGACATGCACTATAGTTCCTCCACCAATCTCACCCTCCTTCTTCCTCTGCTGCACCTGGAGAACCGAGACTCTTGCTGAGTTTCCAAACTCTTAATACTATGCAATTTAACTGGGAGGGAGAACCAAGCCCCCAAACCAGAGTCAGTGCCATCTAGATGATTCAGATTCATAGGAACCCTATATTGGGTCTCGGGAGCTGTAAACCTTTACAGGAACAAGTAGCCTCATCTTTGTTCCTTGAAGTATCTGGTGGGTTTAATCTGCCAACCCTGTAACCAGTCCAAGCTTGCCTGACAGTGCCATCAGAACAGAAGCACTAAAGCCAATATTAGGCCAGTTGATTGGAATATCTCAAGTAAAATTGGGACTCTAAACGTTGAACTTAAAAAATAAGCAGATCTGATAAAGTGGTTGGTTGGTTATGCACCCAGTATAGCTGCTGCCTTCTCTCCCTTTTTTGTTTATTAAAAATAAATATAACCCAAGGTTTGCCCTTTACCCTTTTACAGGTGTATGCTGATGTTGTGGTTAGGTTCAGTAGAGCCAGTTCCACTCAAAGCAACTCTACATCATCCTCACAATTGTTCTTATGTTTGAACTCATTATAACAGTCATTGTGTCAATCAATCTTGTCAAGGGTCTTCCCCTTTTTGGCTGGCCCTCTACTTTACCAAGCATGATATCCTTTACCAGGGACTGATCTTTCCTGATAACATGTCCAAAGTACATAAAATGAAGTCTCTCCATCCTTCTCTCTCTCTCTCTCTCTTTTTTTTTTTTAAAAAAAAGCTTATAATTTGTTTATTTTGGGCAAATAGAATGGGACAATGCAATAAAATATTTTACACATAGTATCTCATTTTGTTTTTTTAAATTGTTTTATTAGGGGCTCATACAACTCTTATCACAATCCATACATACATCAATTGTGTAAATCCACCCTTACTTCTAAGGAGGATTCTGGTTGTACTTCTTCCAAGACTGATTTGTTTGTTATTTTGGCAGTCTGTGATACTTTCAATATTCTTCACCAGCACCATAATTCATATGCATCCATTCTTCGATCTTCCTTATTTAATGTCCAACTTTCACGTGCATATGAGGCAATGGACAATACCATGGCTTGAGTTAGGCGCACCTTCTTGCTCAAAATAACATCCTTGCTTTTTCAACACTTTACAGATATCATGTGCACCACACTGACCCAATGCAATGCATCATTTGAGCTTTTGACAGTTGTTCCCATAGCATAGATTGTGGATCCAAGCAAGACAAAATCCTTGACAAATTCAATTTTTTCTCCATTTATCATTATGTTATCTGTGAAGATTTGGGTTTTATTTACACTGAGCTGTAATCCATACTGAAGGCTGCAATATTTAATCTTCATCAGCACTTGCTCTAAGCCCTCCTCATTTTCAGCAAGCAAGATGGTGTCATAATGCATATACCATAGGTTGTTAATAAAACTTCCTCCAATCGTGATACCACATTTCTTCTTCATATAATTCAGCTTCCTATACAAAGCGGGTGAACAAACAAATGTGGTGAAGAAAGCTGATGGTGCCCGGCTATCAAAAGATA